TTATTTCATGGATTCTTTTGCAAAATTGTGTCTTTTTTGAACATTAGCGGAACATCGACAAAGATTTGCACTTGAAACACAGTTAATGATCAATAAGAGACCCGTCAGAAACAAGAACCATTCAAATTTTTCATTTATTTATTTATTTTTTCGCTTTGATCCCAGAGACATGTCCATTCCAGAGGACATTGGGTCTTAATTGGTGGGAAGGACGTCACAAAGGTGGACAAAAAATGTAGAAACCAAAACATGGCCACTCCATGGTGGCTTTCAGAATGGCCATCCAAAGATCAGGAGATGAAGAAGTTCTAAATCAGTCCATAATGTCGATTGAGAAAAAATGTAAATTAAAAAAATCATTCAGGTTTCCGTTGTCTTTGAATGCGGCCGTTGCTTAGTTCGCCATCTGAACCGTTGTCCATTCCAGACAAGTGAAACCCGATATGCTGTCCAAACAATTTAAAAGGAGATAAACTACGATGTTTTCGGTGGGTCATTAACCCCCCAGCCTCCCCCTGGCCCCCCCCCTAACCCCCCTCTCCCCCACTCGGCCTTCATTTGTGGTTCACACTTCACTTGGTCTGGCTCAGTGGATGGAGGCCGCCGTGTTTGATGTGCTGACTCACCGCTTGTTGAGCTGATGGAGTCAATAAAACATTAAAGTCAGTTTGCATAAAACAACAACAACAACAAAACAGGCTATAAAGACTGTGAGTTCGTCTGCGTACGTGTCGGTCGTCCCGTGTTCGTTCGTGTCGCTGGAGGTCTTTGTTCTCTCAGGATTCAGAGGAAGATATTTCCTCTGATTATTCATCTGCACTCAGGATGTTTGGATCTGATGGAGGTTATGATTTTCTGGCGTCCATCTGCGCCGCTTCCTCTCTGCCCGAATAAATGTGAACCAGATCAAGACGATGTAAACCTTTGTGGCTCAATTAGTTTTTTTTCCCCCTTTCCTCTCTTTTGTATTTGAAGTAAAATACATCCATCCCAGTTATCAGACAAGTTCAGCCTGTTATACAAATTGATTTAATTTTTACATCTGAAATGAGCAGGTTGTTAGCTTAATGGTGGATTTTATTCATTTCCTCATTTTGTATCCAAGCACTCTGTTTCCTCCTTTCCTACTTTTGTTTTGTGCCTGTAAATAAATCATTTTACACCCATTTACATAACCCGTCATCTGCTAGTTCATCTCTTGTTTTTTTTTTTGTTTTTTTAATCATGTTGATAAATTGTCATAACAATGTGGAAATCTTGAAACTGGATTTGTACTTTGTGGAAGCGTTCACTCCATTTGCACTGATTTTTGGTTTTCTTTCCTGATTGGGCCAGTTGACTTTCATGAAACATGAGGGATTACGACCCGTGACCCAAACCCTAGTAGCGCCTCCTGCTGGTAGATGGTAGCATGGCAGATTAAGAAAAAATGAGTGAAACGAGGAAGGACGACAAAGGTTTTTATTCTCTGCTTGTTCTGGTTGCTTGAATTTCTTCCTCCTGGTTTTTAGTCTCTTTCAGATTCTCTGTTTCACAAAGCTCTATTTGTTCCTGTTGGCATGTCAGTCTCTGTCTACTCTGGATTTTATTCTTCACCTGTAGTTTTTGTCTCTTTGCTCAGTTTTAAGGTGGTTTATGTCACCTTCTGATTTCAAGTTACTTCCTTCCTTTTCTGATCAGGTTTAGTCTGTTTCTGTCCACCAATCAGCCTTTTTCTGACCAGTACTGGTTTCCCTTTTTTCCTGCGGATTTTAGTTTCAATCAGAATTAGTAGGTTGTGACTGAAGTAGATGCTGTTTTTTTTTCTTTCTTTTTAAAGAAAACATCTAAAACTAAACGCCCGCAAATCGGATTCTCAATACGCTACTGCAGTAGTACAATTAATGCCCATTTGTAGCCACTAAAAGCAATGATGAGCTGATGGATCTCAATAAACCTTCCACTCTGCCACGCAGTCACGCCTAATCATGCACAGATGAAAACACACGCCTTACACACACCACCCATTAGACTCCAGTGTCCAACTCCCTCCCCTCTCAGATGTACATCCTGCTATCATCTGCTGAAGATTAAGCAGGTGCTTCCGCATGAGCCTCCACCCCCTCCTCCTCCTCCTCGGCCTGTGATTGGCTGACCTGGTTCACATGGCAGCAGGTGGATGAACTCGGCTCAGATAGACAGCGAGGAAGAAAGGTGGAGCTGAGAAGTGAGGGTGTCTTTAGATTAGCGATGGGAGTCATTGAACCGTCTCCATGGATACAGAAGAAAAACACCTAGCATGTCTGAGTGTCAGGTTGTGCTAATGAAGAATATTGTATCTTTAATTATGGGTTTGACAATTATTATCCATGTTTTAAAAATGTTTTTACCTAGAACATCATTTTTATAGGCTAAGCCTTACTAAAAACAAATATTATCTTTCTTAGACTCTTAAAGGGGCAGTATTATGTGTTATAGTGTCGATTTATAGCACAATTAAGTAACTACGTCACCATCAGTCGTTACAAAAATTCTCCAAATATCAAATATGACATAAAAGAAAGTTTACTTAGCTATTTAACGCCTTGAAATTGGGCCTCTGTCTCTTTAAGAAACTCCTGTCTCTTTCTGAAGCTTCGCCTTCAAGAAGTCATCACAACATGGCTCCTCTGTTAACCCTTTAACAACATTTTTACCAGCGTTGCACTGAGAAGTAGCTCCTATAATGAGCTCAGCTGATGCTCAGTTCCACCAGAGGTTTGCTAATTGCTGCTGGATAGTCTGCAGGAGCTTATTGGGGGGAATCATGGGAATTTCTGCTCTGTGAGGCAGAAACTAAGACGCTTGGAAACTGCAGCTCAGTGGAGGGAGGAGCTGTGCCTCAAAGGCGGGGCTGAGTGCGTTTTGCACAGCTGAATGGTTGCCACGGGAGATTAAAGGGTTTCTCAAACAAGCATGAAAGAAAAAAGGCAACGCTCTATTTATGGTTTTGATGAGGACATGACATTATAACATGTTTCTATATTGTTATAACAACATGTTATAATGATGTGATTGTAACACGCTCAAAAAAGTAAATTGGATGAAACACTGCCCCTTTAAAGGGAGAACTGCTTAAACTGCAAACAAAAACCTGAGTAAATACAAAATGGAGTTTTAAATGTAATTAGCAAACATTTCAATTTTTTCTTTATAAATGACATAATTTAAAAAGTATTGGATTTTTTTCAGGTTATTTTTCTCTGGCACTACAATGGATAAAAAAAAAGGAATCTTGTAAAGGGGGAAGAGATCATTTATAATTTGTGTATATTCCTCTAAAGCAGCGTAAATCAGAGAAATCGCTGCTAGTTTTCGCTGATTCCCGGCGTACACATGCACACCGGGAATCACCATCATGGTGCACATCATGAACGTGAAATGCATGACGCTAATTTGACACACATGACGGATCCTGGCGGTGGGTAAAGGCCCAGGCTGGGTCAGGATCCCAGCATGGCGGAGCAGGGAGCGTCGGCTGTGGTTGTGTAAACAAAACATGTAATTGGATCACTGGAGAGAAAAAAGAAAAGCCGTCCTCTTAAGGACGTGATTAGTGTACGCTCACCGGCTGAAATAAGAGTTTGGGCAGCCTGTTTCTTGTCTCGGTGTCCTTAAAGGTACGTTTACATGAATAGAGCCAGAGCACTTTGATATTGTCGTCAGATTTTCACATCGCAGAGAGCATATTTCTAAAGAACTATGCTTTAGAAATATGCCTTCAAGAGGTCATATTTGGGGAAGGGAAACGTAAACAGACTGTTTTAGAATGAAAGAAACGACAATTTCTGTGTTAGCTTCATGCCCAGTTCATCTTTTTGTTCATTTCTTGGAAAATAACACAAAGAAAAGCTCGACATTAAATCAACCTGGATAGCACAGGCATCTGGGCACAATTAATATGTCAGAATAGCTTTGCAACCTATCAGAGCCAGGGGGTGTGTCTTAGCGCTGTTAATCATCTTCTGTACTTTAAAAAAATATACATACATATTATTTAGGGATCCCCATTAGATTCTACCACAGACTATTCTTCCTGAGGCTCACACCACAAAAGTTACAATAAAGTCATAATAAATAAATAAATAATAAAAACAAAATGGAAACAAAATTCAAATTTACGGCCTCAGCAACTTTAACACTTTACAAACATTACAAAAGGACATCACCAAATAAACAAAATCAAAATACAAGATTTCAACAATAAAAGGTTGATGCTGCTAAATGTACTAAATAAGTGACCTTTTGAGGAAAACTGTTCCTCGGTGGCTGTGCTAACTAGCCTCAGGATTCCTGCTAGGCTGTGGTGAACCTGCTGTGGCGTAGCAGAGAGAAAGAGGGAGGATATGAGCAGTGGATACATGACTGTGATTGACAAATCAGAACCGCTTCCTGGTTCTGATTTGGTTCCAAAGCAACTCTGAACATTTGGAGTCTTAAGCCTTGATTTACAGCAGCTCGGTGTTTCGGCTGCTTTGTGGTTTTCTGGAAGTTTGTTCCAGATTAGTGCTGCATAGAAACTGAATGCTGCTGGGTTAT